TCATGTCCGGACTAATAATCTTCTCTTTACTCATTTCAGACTTTCATTCATCGTTGCTCTCTTACCTTTTTTAACGTTTTCTAAAGTTTTGAGATTACGCACTATCATTATTCATTAACTCCGTTAACATCTTATTCTTTTATATGGCATGTTCATTCGATCACGGCTCTCCACAACTTCCTCTTCTTTGTAACAGTATCTTCATTTTAGATGATTTAATCATTGTTTTTGTCTGGTAAGGCCGGTGATCTTAATTGAGTTGTTTGGTGCTCTAAGTGGAAATATTGCCATTATTTAGACGAGTATCCTAATTTTTTTAGTTGTTTCGTTCAATACATATCAACCGAGAAATTCTCCTGCCTGCTCCAGGTGGCTGGGGCATTGAGCAATTTCTTTAACTTTTATTTTTTCATCCTCTTTCAAATAAAGTCAATAAAAATTCGAAATTTTAGAAAGAATATCTTGAATATTCTATTTAGCAACGCTATTTAAGATCCAATACTTTTTGAGATAACACGATCAAAATAATATATGAAAATATCACGGTACGGTTCCCGTAACTTATTGTGGTGGATTGGGGTACTACATATACTGAAGCCATAGCAGCAGTTGTAGTGAATCTATAGCAAAATAGCCTACTGGAGCGCATCTTTTTTCAGACAAGTTTTAAATTCAGTTTTCTTACTTCTGGGTTGGTTACCACATCAAAGCAAAAGAGCCTAGTTAACACTGCTATTTAATTCATAGCTGGATGTGGAAGAAGAATGAATGGATTCATACCTTTCCCGAGGGATTTTTACGAAAATGAACGTAAAGAATTCGAGCGAAATTCAAACTCGACTCTCCTCATTTACCTTCCCACTTTGTTAACCGATACAATATTCGTACATCCGAATTTCTTTCAAAAATCAGATAATTGTCGTATTTTAATGAATCTTTCAGGACTTATTCACAAATGAACGAAATTATTTTTGAATTTTTTCTTTTTTTTTTTTAGAAGCACTTTGTAATTTTTTTATATTTGTTTCTCTCGATTCATTTAATTTATGAAATTTCGAGAAATTCTTTTTCTTTAACGTTTATATTAGTTATAAGGAGAATCTAGGCCTCCGAGAATTTTTGATCATCAAATATTTTTGGTCAAACGGGACTCCCAGTTATAAAATATCTACTTTGAATCATAAAATAGAAAAAAATGAAATAAGACATTATTTAATTAGAAAATCTTTTAATTGCTTTTATCAATAAAATAATAAATCTTCAGACAATAATGGACACTGTCGTATCAAGAATTTTTTTTCGCTGAATAATGAATTTTTATATGAATTGTTTTAATTTTTAAAAAATTTAATTCAAATAATTTATAAACTTTTAAATCTTTTAAAATTCTGCATTAATTTGTATCAGTCAAGTGACATTTTTATTAAATTAAAACTGTATTTACTAATCATAAATGGAGAAATTCTCAACGACCCCAATATTTTAAAAATAACGACCCCAATATTTTAAAAATAATTTTTAATTTATTTTTATGCATGCATAAAAATGTCGACATTTTTAAATACGAACATCAGTCCACGGCCTTTCACCAAATAAAAGTGGTAACTATAGTAAATTTAAAATTCATTGGTATTTTTATAACTGCAGTAATATGTAGATTAACAGTACTTCGTAATTGCATTTTAAAAAGATGATTAGAACATTTACTATTGTGGATTCTTTCTTACTTTTATTTGTTTATTTTGTCGAAAAATCCTGGGATGAATATCGTCCCATTTAAATCAGTGTTTCTTACGCAAGGTGGGCTGTAAGCATGAAACCAATGTATCTTGTTTTTGCTAATACGGTGCTTTAGAAGGCGAAGTGAATTTCGCTGTTAGATATAAACAACATTCAACCTTTCCCCGGAATATAAAATCGAATCAAAGGACACCCTAAAAGATTGAAAGCAAATTCTCAAAACGACACATTAAAGCTTATGTCTGTTATGACAAATTTAAAACGTTTGAATTATTTGCAAATATGATTTATGAAAAAGATTTTAGGACCTACTTTAATGGTCCAATTCCCTGAAAGCCACTAAATATATAATTTACTCCGACGCTGAACTGTCAAATATGCAACTTGAACAAAAATTCGAGAGAAACTTTAATCTATCCGAACGTTTCTGCTTCTGGGTCTTTATTTTATTGAAAGTTTTTGTAATAATAATTTGATCGTTCTTTCTTTCTATCTTTTACTTTTCTTTCCCTTTTGACTCCTTTTCTTTTTCTATCGTTTCTATCGTTTCATTCTTTCTTTCTTTCTTTCTTTCCATAATTCTTCATTCTTAACTTTTCTTCTCTTCTTTTCTTTTCCCTCCGATATTCTGTCTTTTTCTTTCCTACCTTTTCCTCCTTTTTTCTTTCCTTCCTTTATTCCCTTTTTCTTTCCGGCCTTTTTCTTCTTTATAATATCTTTCCTTTTTCATAGTCCTTTTCTCTTCTTGTCTTTCTTTTCT